AAGGATCACCAGAATCACCAGGAGGACTTGTTAGCATATGGATTGCCAGTTGCCACTCCTCTGTTTTTGACTCTATTGGATTGGGTGGGGACCTGAAAATTTGCATTTCTAGCAGGTTCTCAGGTGATGCTCCCGTTTCAGGCCATGCTTTGAGAGCCACTAGCTTAGTGCTCCAGTGGAAACATATTTAATCTTACTTCTTGTAGTAGATTATTTCCTAGTCACAGATTCCTTCCAGCCCAGTGCACACACTGCTTTGAATGTGACTTTGCTGCTCTTCCCCACCGGACCTGAGTCTGTTCCTACACTGTCTACAATCAGGGCTGATTTTCTGACTTGCTTTGGCCAATAAAACATGATGGTCACCTTGGGTGAGTTCCAGAGCCCAGATCTCAAGGGGCCTTGCATCTTCCCCCTTTACTCCCTTGGAACTCTGCCCTGAGACCATGATGGAAGGAAGCCAGTCTGGCCTACGGGATAGAGGACTAGAGGCCACATGGAGGAGACCTGAGGCCCCTAACCAAAAGCCAGCACCAGTGCAGACGCGTGAGTGAGGGCATCTTGAATTTTCCAGCTCTGCACCCTGTAGCTTGTGTTTCTCAACCTTGACACTACCGAGATTTGGTTCCAGGTAATGCTTTGTTGAGGGGGGCTGTTCTATATAACATAAGATGTTTTGTGGCATCCCTGTCCTCTACCCATTAGATGAGAAGAACACCATCTGTGATGTCCCCAGACATTCCCAAATGTTCCCTGGGGGCAAAGTTCACCCCTGGTTGAGAACCCCTCCTCTAACTGAATGCAGCCGCATAAGTGAGTTTGGCGGGGAACCAGCAGAGGAATCATCCAGCCAATCCACAAAATCCTGAAAAATAATAAAGTGTTTTTACTTTAAACCAGTAACTTTTGGGTAGTCTCTTTTTCAGGGATAACCTAGATCCTTCTTTCCTGGTCATTTCTCCCAAAGCTCTTTCTCTCTGTAAGCCTCGGCGTCATACACTAAAAATACTAATTCTTTTTGTTGAAGTGTTTGCTACTTTTTCATTTTACTTTTATATTTCTCATTTGACTTTCCTGTGAAGTAGTTTTACATTGAAAAATCTGTCCCCAGTAGAGGGATGAAATGAAGATGAAAGATGAGAAGCAAGACCTTAAGTAAGTACTGAAGGTCATGTAGCTTCTTGGAAAAGCCAGCCTTTCTGATTCCTAGTCCAGTTTAAGCCAGCCCCTGAGGTCGGGCTGATACAAACCTTACTCTGTGACTTGAGACAAACACAATCTTGGGCAAGTCACTCAACTTACATGATCCCCAGTTTTCTCACCTATAAAATGAGGCAAGTGATATCACTTACCTCACAGGTTCTTAAATTTTTTAAATTAAAAACTTTCATTTCTTTTTTTCCCCCATCATGTGTTTTTTATGGGGTTTTAATGAGATAGAACATAGCAGGTTGGTAAAGCTTTTCTGGAAAGTACCAGATGGTAAATATTTTCGGCTTCGCAGACCATATGTTTTCTGTGACAAGTCCTCAACCATGGCTGTAGGTGACAGCAGCCGTAGACAGTGCATACTCCAATGGGTGTGGCTGTGTTCCATGAAGACTGAGTTCACAGATGTAGGCCACATGGGACCCATGGATCTCAGCTTGTCGACCTCTGAGAGAGAGCACAGAAACATCTTGGCCTTTGGTACAAGGGAAGCATTCAATAAATGGTGACTATTATTGTTAATATTATACTTTATTTACTTCCTTCTTATTCTTTACTCTTTATGCTTTATCATTACTTCATTCCTTCAGCAGTCTCGTTCTTCTGCTTTCCATTTTTATACTTTCTCTTTCAGCACCGTTAATTGGTTCCATCTATTGGGATGTGATGAGAAATTCAGTTCTGTTCTGGCCAGCTGTAATAGCCAGCTCCCAAGATAACCCCCCGGGGTCCTTGCTTCCTGGTAATATGGAAGGATACGAGGCTGTGCAGAGAAGACTTGAGCCCCACCATGACTAGGGCTGACCTGGTAGCCAGTAGGGTATTGTAGAAATGACTATGTATGACTTCTGATGCTCAGTCGTAAAAGACACTGTGACTTCTTCCTTGCCCCTTTGGGACACTTGCTTTGAGCGAAACTAGCCACCATGTTGCGAGGACACTCAGCCCTGTGGTCCGTGTGACACAGAACTGAGGCCTCTTGCCAACAGCTAGCTTGAAATTGGTGACCACATGAGCAATCTTGAATGTGAATCTTCAGCTTCCGTTCAGCCTTCAGATGACTGCAACTGCCTTCAATCTTGATACCTTAAGCCAGAACAACCCAGTTGAGCTGTGCCTGTATTCCTGACCCAATTACTGTTTGAAATAATATGGCTTTTATTATTTAAAAAATGGTTTTTAAGCTGTCGGTATGTGGGGTAGTTTGCTACTTGGCAATAGATAACTAATACTCCAACGTAGTAATTGAGAGTGGCCCTATATGAGCTGATTGCTGTTTAGCTTGCATGAGAATAGAAGCTGGCTTTCAGGTGAGAGGTTGCTGATCCCCTAATGCTTTGAGTAATAGGATAATTAGCAAAACTATGATCACTTGGCCATTGTTGCTATGATTTTGAGGATCCTCTGACCTCAAATGATCTGACTTCAACCTGACCATCTAGTTATATCTTTCAGAAACACATCATGCAACCTATATTGTAACCAAGCCAAATTATTAAAAGTGTTATTTGTTTGTTCGTTTGTTTATTTAAAGTAGGCTCCATGCCAGTGTGGAGCCCAGTGTGGGGCTTGAGCTCATGACCCTGTGATCAAGACCTGAACTGAGATCAAATGTTGGGCACTTAACCGACTGAGCCACCCGGCTGCCCCAATTATACATGTGTTAATATCAATAAAACTACCATTTTTTGCATACTCGCACTGTGCTATGCCTGTTCTTATTTAATTCTCAGGCCAGCCCTATGAAGACTGTACTAGTATTAATTCCATCTTATTCAAATCAGGAAACTACTTTTCAGAAGGTTACAGAGCTGGGGGCTAAGCTAGAATTTGAACTGAGCACGCTAACCTTTAGACTCTGAACTTCTCAATACTCAATGCTTTTTGTCTTTGCTTCCCTGTCTTTGCTCATGTAGTTGGTTCCCTCTTCTGGGTGTCCCCTTCCTCCTTCTCCAGCAGGTGAGCACTTGCTTATGTTTCAAGACCCAGCTCAAATATCACCTCCCTGTGACATATTCCCTGACATTCATAGCTAGTGACACATATTTCTTACAGGCCTGTTAAATGACAATCATTAGTCCGGAAGCTGGGGATGCACCAGTAAAAATAAATCAAACCCCAAAAGAACAACAAAAGTTTCTGCTTTTAAAAAGATAACATTCTAGTGGGAGAAAATGAACAAACAGAAACAGATTCAAATAGTGAAATAAGATCATTTTTTGGAAGTAGAGCCCACTGATATGCTGATGGATTGGTTTTGGGGGAACAAAGGAGAGAAGACTTGAAGCTAACACCTTAGTACTGAGTGCCTGGCTTAGGTAACTACGATCACTTCCTGGGGTGGGGAAATTTTCAGTCTTTTATTTCCTAGAACATGGTATGCATAGTTGCTTAAAAGTGTTTGATAACTTCAAAATCCAGAGCCTCTGTGGGTCTCTTTCTATTTTTTTTTGTTGGTTTTTCTATTTTTCCTTTCCAAAAATACTGCTTTATACCCCTCATGCCTTATTATTTTTTATTGGGCATTGTATTTAAAAGTTGCATGCAGGATTAATTTGAAGCCTCTGATGATATTTTCTTCTCAAGATTTGTGTTTGTTTCTACCAGGTTCTGGGGCACCAATGATCTAGGATTACTTAAATCTAATTTGGGGGCTTTAGAATACTTGAAGCTGAGCTGTGGTCCCTACAAGCATTTGTCTTCTTCTGGTTCACACTTCCTTGTAGAGAGCATCTTTTCAGAGTTTCAACCCTTTCAAGTCCCAAACTCTTGGTGGGCCTTAGATAGAATCTCTGCCCCTTTATCCCTGTGAAGCTGTCCAAAGTGCCACTCAGCCTCTCAGCCACCCTTGGTAGAATTAGCAAATGCCCCCATGTCTTCAAGCAGCTCAAAGAATGGACTTACTTCTTCTGGACCTCTTTCTTCCCTTGGATCCTGGCTCCTAATTCTCCATTATTTTGTGAGCTCTCTCGTGTCTTTAAACAGGTTTTTTTGTTTGTTTGTTAAACTGAAGAATCATCAGTTCTATTAAAAACATAAAACAAATGTTCCTAAACAACGAAGTAAGTTGACAGTGTATTTCACTGGATTTATCCCTTTTCTTTCTCAGAAGGTATTTTGGCAGACAAAATTCTCATGAAGAAACCCCTTTCCAAAAAGGCACATTTAGATTTTCTTTCCATTTATTTCTACATTTGTATGCCTTAGTGATAAGCCTTCATACCTAAGGCAAAGTGATCACTATTTAGGATTAATAATAATAATAATAATAATAATTGTAGCAGTAGTAGTAGTAGTATATACTTGTACTACTGAGAAGAGTGGGTCAGTAATGTGTTCCTACTTTTGAGTCTCCTGATACTCTCCCAGTTTAAAATGTGCTGGGGAAAGTAACAGAACTTAGCAATATTCCTCTTCTTTATATGCTCCAAGAAAAATCATGAATTTCTTCCATTTGTGCAGTTAAGGATTTGCTGTTTCTGCAACTTTTATATTTGTCCTCAGCAGAAAGGGGTTTGGTCCAAATTACCTAGCCTGTGATTACTGGTGACAGATGTTCGCTCTTCCAGATTTTGGTTCTCATCTCAGCTTGGTCACAAATTATTTGTAGGACTGTGGGTCCCATGTACTGTGCTTTACTCATTAGTTAGAAGAGGACAATAGCACTGGGCTTACTTGCCTTGCAGATTACTGTAGGAGCAAATAAGATAAGCTACTTGGAGACAGGCAACCCCATCAGAACGCAAAGTGCTAAAGTCCGTTTCTCCTTGATTCTCACCCCAGGATTACCTGAGGCATCTGAAATCCTTGGAAAGAAGGGCCTTGCTGACTCCCAGCTCTGGGTGGTGGTGCCCAAGGCAGTTTGCCTCAGGCAGTCCCTCTGTGACTTCCGAAATCATCAGAGCAAGCAAACCTGAAATCTGGATCATCGGGTGAGTTTTTATCATACTTCTCTCACTCCTTTTTAAAATTTCTTGCATTTCAGGAAGTATCCCTGCCTTCTTTCTTTAGCTTTTGTCCCTAATAGCTTTCCTGAAGCAGACCTACAGTGTGCAGCAGCCAGGAACCAGGGACTAAGCTAACAGAAAAAGCCCCCAAGCCTTGACCTCTCAGCTAGCCACCCCCTAGGGCCCCTCTGGGTTGCACTTTTATTTTGGCCTTTGTGAACTGTGCAGAGCCAGGGCTGACCCCGCCGATCTGTGGATGTGTGGCCAAGACAGGTCCCAGTGTCCTGCCGGAGCTGTGCGTGTGAGGGGAGCCTGGGATGCAATGTGATGGCATTTGTGACAGGGTGAGGGAAAGAGATTGCTGGCTGGGCCTTCAAGGGGTGCGATTAGATTACAGCTGGAGTTGCCTGTCTGGCAGACATGGGAGACCTGGTCCTGTTCCTTTCGTATGCCGTGGAAGCCATATTTACGTGCTGGCCAGAGGGGTTCATGTCTGGAGCAGGGGGCACCAGCCCAGCGAGCGCAGAGCCAAGATACTAATTCCATAGTGCTGCCCGGAGCATTTGCTTTTTATCCTGGACTTTATTTCCTTACCTGGCTTTCTGCATCTGAGCTGATGTGTTTCCCCAGTGCTAAAACGTCTGGAGAGAAAGACTGCCGACTACCTGGAGTGTCGTCACTCTCAACCCATCTTCTTACCCCCTCCTCGCTTTCTGTGCACACACACATGCCCCTGCAGAGGTGGGAGCGGGGTGGTTTGGGGCAAAGACCTTGGGCTTTGGCTTCTGAGTCACCAGATTTGGATCTTTGCTTGGCTGCTTCTAGCTGGGTGACCTTTCACAAGTTAGTTAACTTCTCTGGGACTCAGTTTTCTCATCTGTGAAATGGAGGGTGTGATATATCAGATGTTGTGGGCTCAGATTTACATGAATACTTCCTGTTTCTAATATAATTCTTGGTACATAGTGTGTCTTCAATGAATGGCATTTCCCTTCTCTTTTTATTCTCTCATTTTTTGGTTTATTTTCTGTTAAACATATATAAGGAAAAACTTTTTGATGAGGAGTAAGAGATTCAGGTATATTTAGGATGAATTGTAATTATTATCCCAGCTGTCATCTTTAATCTCATTTGGTTCCCAAGGATCTGTAATGCTCGAGCAGGGTCTGGACCAGGGCTGAAGCTCACTGGATCAGGAGGAGACTCCAGATGGAGCCTCATGCATTCACCTGGGGATGAATAGTGACCTCCGTTAGGGGCCTGCTGGCCTGCCCCTTGCTCATTACGGAGCGCCGTCCCTCTCTCCGATCCTCTGTGTGGATCCCTCTTTGTGTTAGGAATCTGAAGGGTGGAAATGGGTTTTCCCCCACCAAGTCAGACATTTGTACGTATTTTTCAAAATTAAAAAAAAAATTAATACACTGGAGTTTCCTAAACTTTAGTTGTTTGTCATAATTAGGCAATATCTGTCTTAATTTTTTATTTAATATTTTAATTTAAATTGACTCACCTTTTTTTTTTTTTTTAATTTGGGAACTTATTTTCAGCCTGGACCTAAGTAATCCTATCTAAGAAATCATGGATTTCTCTAATGCGCAATGACTCTCAGGTCAAATGTCCCTTCTTTGGAAGCGTTAAGAAATTGAGGGAGAAACCCAGTTTTCTTTCACAAGAAAGAAGAAAAAATATATAATTTTACTAAGCAATGAAGAGCATGGACTGTGTTCAGGTGTGTGGCTTTCCATTATCTTTTTATGTGTGTATTTTACATTAGTGAGATCACATCATATACATTTTCTGTCCTGATATTTGTACTTAATATACAATTTCAAGCATTTCCCCCTGTCATCGAATACTCTCTTCAGACTTGGTCTTGGTGGTTTTACGTCCTGTGGTGGCCCAGGGAGGCGATTCAACCTCACACGCCCCTTTTGAACAGGTGGGTCCGATACCTGTCACCTTCAGCTTGAGGCTCAGAGATTTGTGCAGCCCATGGTTTGCTCTCCTCTGAAATGTCTGTGGTGGATCTCTATGACCTTGTTCGGGGTAGAGAACACGGTGACTCTCATCTGTGGTTGACTATATGGAGCTCTTGTGTGAGAAAGTGACATGAAACTCCAAACAAAAATAATATTATTTCCAATGAGTTGGGTTCTCCAAGCTAGAGAATCAGAGAACCGCCTCTTAGAGACCAGTCAAGAGGAGTCTTTTTTGCTGCCACCCTAGCTAGAATGTGTGATGACCAGTGATTCCACCTCCCGTTGTTTCTGGTTTGCTCTGGAATGTTCCTCTCTCCTTTTCCTCTGCATACAGTGGTTGGTAATTACGGTTCTATAGGGAGTCAGCTGTCTCAGGGGCTCCCTGAGGACATATTTCTGAGGCCCTACCCTTGCTTCTGAGTACCTCTGTGGCCCGGCCCCATTACTGTTCTTCCACAGTGGCCCAGCCCAAACTGACCTCATGGCTGCCAGCCTCTGTCTGCGTTGTCTGAGAGAGACAGCATGCCTCATGACCCGTCAGAAGGGACTGGAGTGTTCAGGGCCCTTCAGAGGCACAGCTGAGGAGCCGGGACAAAGCACAGAGTGTGAGGAAAGACATGACTGACGGCTAGGGATTGCTTGTCCATCAACTGGCAGCTCAAGAATCAAGGAATGCACTAAGTAGGACAGAGGAGGCCTGAGCTCTTTGCACCATCTCAACAAGCCCTAATTAAATGTCTTATGTGAGCAAAATGGCTGGAGACAGCAAGCCCGGCAGTTTCTCCTGGACGCGTGGCAGTCGCCACAGGAGCAGTGGCTGCAAGCTGTCCTGTGGAGGCGCCGCAGCCCCCACTGGGCCACTGGGTGTGTCAGCCTGTCAGAAATGAGGTCAGGAGCCTGGAGTTGGTGGCCATGGATCCTCCAGAGTGTGGGAGAAGCGTGGGAGAGGCCCCCACCATCCCAGGCTGTGGGACAGTGGTAAGACCAGTGATGATCCTTATGCCTGGAAGTCAAAGAAACAAACCCCCAAACTAGATGATTCCATGTATATTATCAGATCGCAGCCGAGACCAGGGAGACCAGGTTGGCATCTCTGCACGCTCAGGATTTCCATGGTGCTTCTAGAAAACGCATCTCTTCCCAGGCAGAACAGCGATCCGAGGTGTTTTTCATCAGGTCTCTTTCTTCCAGTTGCTCCGCGCTCCCCAGCTTTGTTCTGGCTTACACGCTGGGCCCAGGCCACCCAGGGGCAGTGGGCTGCTGATGGGGGCAGCCCCCGCAGCTGCTGCCTCCGAATTCTCCGGGATTCCAGGCCGGGCGCTGGGTGATTACACCGCTGTTATCTGGGATTAGCTATTTTCGCTCCCTGTATTTATATCATGGAAGCTGCAGCGTGATGCCGCCAGATGCCAACACAGGCAGACTGTGCCTTCCTCTGGACCCACCTGCTGTTCTGCTCACACCCGGCAAGGTGGCAGTTGGTGGGGACCAGACCTGCCAAACCCTCCGCCTCCGTGCCAAACGTGTCCGGTGGCTCACTGAGACCTAGGGGGAGCCTCGGCTCTGCAGGCAGCTCCGTGCAGGGGAGGCTGGACCCGAGCCTGGGGGAGGGGGCAGGGGCTGGCAGCGTTCCCCCGCTCAGGACGCCTGTCACTTCCCTAATCCCCTGAAGTCTTGGAGTCTAGGAACCCTCTTGCCCGCCCCCACCCCTGCTCCACTCCCACCCCATGTGTGGCTTTCCAGCTTGCACGTGAGGAGTGCTGAAGGGCCCTCATTTTAGGCTGCCCGGAAAAGCACCAAGTGCCCGAGCCTCCCAAACTGAAGTGCAGGGGGATTAAAAGGCACTGCTCTGTTTAACTGGGTCCATCTTTGTTTCCATCCCTTTTCTCCTCCCAGTCCTCCCCCCTCCCGCCCCCACCTTGGAGGAGGTGGGGAGATCTTAGCTTGTCAGGTCTTCTTTCAGGAAATGGAGAGGATTCTCGAAGGTATGTTATATCTCACTAGGATTGGACCAGATGACCTCAGCAAAGTGACTTAAAAATGCAGTCTGTTATTTAGTGAGTGGGGGGTTGCTCCCAGCCCTGCCATGTGCTGAGTGAGGCTTCTTTCTTGGTGCCTGGGAAAAGGTGGCTTACAGATACAGTCCCTCTCCCAGGTTAGAGTGGACAACACCAGGCCTTGGCCTCAAGCTTGGGAACTTTCAGACGGGGTCAGAAAGACTCCCTGGATTGAGGCAGGTGGAATTCTGTTCTAGCAGAATTCACTGGGGAGAGCAGCACATTGAATGTGGTCTTCTGTTTAGATGCCTGCTTGCGTTCCATGCGCCTGTGGTGGAGCTCCACTGCTGTCTGCACTTCTCTGCCCAGGCCCACCTGTCAGGGTAGGACTCTCCAAGGTGGCAATGAGTATCTTTCCCAGATGTGTATTAAACTGTCAAAAACATTAATAACCTGATTTAGCGTTTCCTAAACCTCAGTTGTTTGCCATAGCCAAGTGAGATCAAGAATGGGTAAACAGGTCAATGATGAGCTGGCATGAAAGAAAAGAAAAAAAAAAAGAATGTGTAAACACATACAAATAATGATAAAAGGACATATTAAGTATACAATATGTTTATTGAAATAATATTTTTTGAAATAGATGTACTTTGTTTTTACTTGAAAACTTATTTTAGCCTGGACCCAAGTAATAATATCCAATAAATCAGAGGTTTGAGACCCTAGCTGTATTTTATCTTAATACACATATCAGAAAGTCAATTTTGTATTTTATCTTAAAATTCTTTGAAATAAATCAGTATTTAGTAATTTTTAAAAATCCAGGTACTACCATGCATTGGAAAATGCTGGTCTAACTCGAAGAAATATGGAAAAGTGGGGAGAATTCAGGGAGCCCTGGTAGGCTGGTATGAAGTGGAAGGGGAGGGGGACATATCTGGATGGGGGCTGATTGGTGGGCGTGGGCTGTGGGGGGAAGGAGAGGTGGGCGTGGCAAAAGAGACACTTG